ATATATTTATACTTAACTGTTGTTTTGTACTTCTGGTTGGATGCCAACTGCATTTCGTTGCCTGTATCCATGGCAATGACAATAAAGTTGAATCTAATCTTATCAAATCTTAAAGCACTTCTGATAAGACCAGCCAGTTGTTTTCTGAATATATTCTTTCCAGTACTTGTGAGGTGCAGTCCTTCATGTCAATAATGCAGACCATGGTCTAGGAAACTGAAGTTCTCTTGATGACACCAATTTTTAAGCCAGCAGTTTGTTTCTAAAATATTTTGCTCCCTCATTGGAAGTTGGCCTTTTGTTAGAAATACAGATGAAAACATCACTTGTGCTCCTAATTCTGTAACTTTCTTCCCTAGCTGTTTGTAATCTCTTGTTTTCAGATTCATTGTTGTGTCATTGATTGTCTGGATGTCATGCCTGTATTTTGGACATCTGAAATTCATTTTTGAAACAGTTGATCTTTTTAAAAATAAAGTGTGACTTCTCTCTTGTGATTTGGCCTGTCTCCGATAAGGCTGAAACCACTAGCCACCTGCTTGTAAGCTATGCAGACAGGAATGTGTATTTATAGAGGTTATTTCATCTTTTTTTGGCTAAACCATTATACCTAATGAAAGTGTAGTAGGCCAGTAGCTTTGTGCCAAGATTTGTATGGCATATCTCAGAGCTCTGCGCTGTTTGATATATTTAAACCAGGTTTGGATGAGGGATTAGGAAATAATATATTGGTAAATGACACAAAGAGGGCAGAATAGGAAATGGGGCACCATCAAGATTCAGGAGGAACTGAGCAAATTGCAACGAAGGATATGAACTAGCAAGATGTGCCTGAGTGTGGTGCAGCTACAGAAAATAAATAAATAAATAAATAAATAAATAAACAAATAAATAAATAAATGTTATCAGACCTGCCCCAGTTTGATTTCTTAGGGAAGTAAAGCTCTCAACTATTTGAAGTGAAAAGGTACTTTTACTAAAGAATACTGGTTGCAGTAGAGTCAAGCAGAATCTGAAATTTCCGGGCAGAAGTACAGAACACCCCCTACCAGTTTCCACTAACCCTCCTCCCTTGGTCCATCCAAGCATAGCCAATCCAGCATTGCCATGATGTTAGGAGGAAATCTGAGGTGTTTGGGCTGGTGAAATTCCACATCCAAGGCAAATGGCCCGGAGGATGCCAAGGTGCCCGCTGGAACAGGATTCCAGACCGCTGTGTCTTTCTTCAACCGTCAACTCCCCCCTTCTCAATTTCCCATCATAAATTTCTGTTCTGTTCTAAAAGTATACAGCAACCTGACCCTTTGTCCCCCCCCCCCTTTGTTCCCCTCTCTTCCTCCACTGATGATGGAATGCCGGGAGGCGTGAGCCAAAGCTGCTGGTTCTGACAGTATGTTATTCTGGATGTCTCAGTAGGGTTTGTTTTGGCCCCGATTACAGTCATAAGTCGAGGACTCCTCAGAGTACAATAATATCGGCTAACAGAGGTTACCAATTGTTGGGATGGGATGGAGGATAGACCGCTTTCATGTTAAGCCAAGACTGCAAACCTACATCCTTTGTAGTTGGCTGAGGTTAATTAATCTAAATTCTTCAATGTAGAGCTGACATTTAAGTCACTTTAACATTATGGACCACCTAAGGGCACGCACATCTGTGGGAAATGTTTTCCCTCTAATCCTTCAGCTGCCTCCTTCCCTCTTTTATCCGGGTGTGATGACCCAGAGTGGGATACAAAAGCAACAAAGTCACAAAAACAGGTGACTTTGTTTTAATTCCTTCAACTTGGCTTCAAAGGTCCAAATATGGACTGGAGAAAAAACTCCCCCACAAACAGTTGCAAAAAGGAAGAACTTCTGTTCAAACTCAAAATGCATATAAATTATAAATAGAAAAAAAACAACACAAACCACACTGAAGCAATTAAGGAGACCAGGCAGGATAAGGGCTTAAAGGTGTCCACAGATATTGAAATACGCACACTGGGAAGGACACCAGAACTCAGATAAGAATGGACAGACTAGAGATATTTCCACACTTTGTTTCCAGCACTGGCCCATACACATGTCAGTCTTTTTAAACAGTCCTCAGAGCTGCAGCCCATGAGGGGATCAAGGCCCTTTCCTCCCCCGTAGACCACGCCATTCACATTTCTCCCTTATCCGCTCCTCCCTGCATGCCCTAGGATAAAGAGAGGATGGACCTGGGTCTTCCTCTGAATGCCCAGCCGGCCTGTGTCCTTCCCCAGTTTCCTCCACAACCTCTGGAGCCACGCTCCCACTCCCTGTTGGCTGTTCCTCCTCTCCCTCAGAGTCAGATTCTAACAGGGGCAGGACACTGGGTCTTGAAGTAACAGCTCTTTCTCAGTTCCGTCTGTCAATAGTATTCCAAGCCCATTTAAGTCAATCATCGTGTAGGATGCTCCAGGCAGAGTGTGCAGGGCTCCTGCAGCTGGTTAAAGGCCAAGCCCAGTCACCTGTTACCAGCAGGGATGCCCTTAGATCTTCCAGCTCTTAGGGTCAAAGAGTTCCACATTTGCACATCAGCCACTTGTTGTCCCACGGGACATTTGTGGCTCAGTCTGTCCCACTGTGAAAGGGAGCCCATTTTGCTTTAATTGCTTTAAACAATCGCTCCCAATTCAGAAGCCACAACTATTCTCTAATGTGTTCCGTCTGTTGCCTGGGTGCTGTGGTGCGGGAGTTTCTTTCCAACAGTTTTAAACAACCTGTATAAGACAACATTTGTTGCGGTCTGCTCTGTTGATCTGTTTCCCACTTTGGTTATAATGGCTGCCAGCTGTGGGTTTCCACAGTCACAGAGTCCAAATTGACGGCCTAGACTTTGAAGCTATTTATCAAAAAGTTGGTTGGAATGCGCCACTTTCATCTAGTGGACGGTCATAGAACGCAACAGGCAATTGGATCCCACTGGGCATGTTGTTTCACCCCTGGATTTTTGTAGCAGCCCCACTTTGCTGCTTAATTTGAACCCCCAGGGATGCCACTCCTCCTTTCTGGACCTTGCTGTGCCCCACCCTCTTTTGGGGACATGTTGCCCATTAATTATAGATTGGGAATCCGGGAAAGATGCTCAGTTAAATAGATGCAGTTGGCAGAGCGTTATTGAGTGGGGAAGACAGTTTGGAGGGCAACCACCAAGGCACCTGGGTGCAGCATTGGATTAAACAAAAGTCTTCTTTGTGGCCCAGTGTCATGTGAACAGAGACATCCTTTGGGATTTGGGGAGGGGGTTTACTGCCTTCTTTAGGAATGACCTTTTCAGGAATCTTGGAGAAATGGAGGAGGAGACAGGTGTAAATCAGATTTCACTATATGATAGGCTCAAGATCCAGATGGATCTTTACAGATTAGAACACTGGACCGTATTTAACAAAATGAAATTCAATGTAGAGAAAAGTAAAGTCCTACACTTAGGCAAGAAAAGCCAAAAGTACACATATAGACCGGGTGAAACCAGGCTCAATAGCAGTAACTGTGAGAGGGATTTTGGAATCTTAGTGGACAACCAGCTAAATATGAGCCAGCAGTGTGCAGCTGCCGCCAGAAAAGCTAATGCAATCCTAAATTGTATTAACAGAGGGATACAATCAAGATCAAGGGAGGTGCTAATACCACTCTATGAAGCCTTACTAAGACCACACCTAGAGTACTGCACCCAGTTCTGTTCACATTACAAAAAAGGTGTTGAGACTCTAGAAAAAGTACAGAGAAGAGCAACCAGGATGATTAGGGGACTGGAGACTAAAACATACAAAGAACTGGGTTTGGCTAGTCTAGTAAAGAGAAGGACCAGGGCAGACATGATAGCAGTCTCCCAATATTTGAGGGGCTGCCACAGGGAGGAAGGGGTCAAGCTATTCTCCAAGGCACCCAAAGGCCAGACAAGGAATAATCGATGGAAACTGAACAAGGAGAGATTTAACCTGGAAATAAACTTTCTGACAGTGAGAACAATCAACCAATGGAACACCTTGCCCTCAGAAGTGTAGGGGTGCTCCTGCTCCTGCTGGGCCGGGGGGTGGTGGACTAGATGGCCTACAAGGTCCCTCCCAACTCTGATTATCTGTTATCTTTATCTTTCTGTTCTGTTTTCACTTATCTTCTAGACCTAGTTTCACTTGCTTTCTACTTCTTAACTCTTTTACTGCGCTGTGGATGCTGCTGCTGCTGCTGCTGCTTTCCCCCCAGGGAAGGGTGTGGCGGGTGACTTGCAAGGTCCCCATCATGCTGAAAAGCGAGCTGGGTCAGTGCAGGCTAGGCTGCCCTGCTTGGCGAACAATCTGGCAAGGTAACACTTAAGTACAGATTAGCAGAATGACACACAGTGACAGAGAACTGAAGTGAAAATTGGCAGGCAGTGAAGAGTGTGCCATGGTGCTCAGTCCTGCAAAGACCTGGGGTGGTGACAACGGTAGCCCTTCAAAATCTAGGTCAATAATTTTGATGAACAGCTGGAGGCGATAGTGGGTTTCTGGTCCAAATACAACCGGTTCTGATTGCCAAGATAGAAGGAGGAGACTGTGGAACCAGAAAAAAGGTGAAGGAAGTTGAGGCTAAATCTGTAATGAAAGTTAGAAGACAGACGGCAGTTCCATCCGTGGAGTTTTTCAAGCAAGGGTTGGCAGCCACCTGACTGGAATAGTCGGAGGATTCCTGCCATAGGCAGGAGGTTGGGCTAGAAGACCTCTAAGGCCCCTTCCAATCTCATGATTCCATGAAACGAGCCACCTTAAAGCGGGATAACTAGAACAGCGCCGCCACCGTCTTTTACGTCGGGCGAGAAAACTCCGGGAGGACGGGGCGCTCACAGCCCGCCTCTTTCCTAGACGGCTGGCGAGGGGCCGCCCAGCCTTATCACGCCGAGCCGCTCGGCGGCCGCGCCAGTCCAGGTGCGACAGGAAGGCGAAGGGAGGAGCCGGGCCCGGGCCCCCGCCCAGAGTTCCAGCTCGGCCTTGCGGCTGCCCCGCCTCTGCCCCGGGCAGACCCGCTGAGGCCGCCTTGCTCTCAGGCCCGGCGGCCAAGCCCGCAAGCGCAGCTGCCTCTACGGAAGTGCCTCCCGCGACAGGCACCGGGCCGCCCGAGGGCAGGGCTCGGCCGGAGTCGCGGCCGCGGAGCCCGCAGGAGGTGGGGGGGCTCGCCACGCTCCACTCAGCCGCCAGCCGGACCCCTGTCCGCCTGCTTTCGGGCTGTGTCCGGGTGCGCCGAGGGACAGGCTCCGCGCCGGGGTAGAAGTCCTTTCTGCTGCCGGTGAAGTTTGGCGGCGGCCGCCGGGCTTCGCGACACTCCCGTGGGCCGGGCGAGGCGGGGGAGGCGGAGGCGCGCCAGGAATGTGCAGAGCGAGCGGGAGCGCCTTCTGGCTTTCTCGCCGCCGGCCGACTTCGCTCCGCTTCCCCTCCGCTGCTGCCCTGGGTGGAGCTTCACACTCGCTCCGAGGTGAATCAGGCGCCGGGAGCGCCGGGGGTGGGGACAAGCCAGCCGAGCGCCGGCCAGCCCCACAGCCTCTGAGCGCGGCGGCGGCGGCGGCGGCAGCGGCAGCGGCAGCAGCAGCAGCAGCAGCAGCGAAACCCGCCACCTGTCCAGCAGGAGCAGCCGCCGGCCGGCCCCGAGAGCCCGGGAAGGTAAGGCGTGCGCTCGCGGGGCTGGATCGGGCGGTCGAGGAGCAGGCGAGGAGGTCGTCCCTCTTGCGCGCAGCGCCGAGCCTCGCGTCCGGCTGCCGGTCCCCTTCCTCCCGCGGCAGGGAGCCTCTGCGCGGGCGACCCTAAAGGGGCCGGGGGCGAGGCTGGAACTTCGGGAAGAGCGACGCCTTGCAGAGTTCGGAAGTGAGCGAGGGCGGGGAGGGGCCGGCGGCGTGGTCAAACCGGTCCCGAGAAAGGACGGCGGGCGCATCTCGCCAAGGGCCAGAACCCCCTGAACTCCACCGGGCCGTGGGCGAGCGCCCCAGGACCCGTCCTGCTGGCCCGCCCGCTGGGGCAGGGAGGAGGGCGCTGACCCGGGGTGGCCTGAGTTGCCCAGGCAGAAGACCGGCGGCCCGGGGGAGCTGCTGCTACCCCCCCCCCCCCCCCCACATCCTCGGCGCCAAGCATGCCCACACCTTCCCCAGCGCTCGCTGTGCCAGTAGCACCCAGGACGTGCTGCGGCAGGCAAGTCGCTGATGGCAGCCCTGCAGAGCCGCGTGAACCCAGGCGGGCCTGCCAAGGGAGCGCGTGGTGCCTCTCCGGCCTTGGGCTGTGTCCCAGCGCCACTTGCGGAGGCTGACCCCAGGGAGCCCAGAATCTCTGGCCAGAAGTCAGCCTGGTGCTTGGATCCCATCAGGAAACTTCCTGAGTTAACTCTCCCACTGGGTTTACTGTGACTTATGGACTGATACTGTCTCACAAAATGGACCCTGGTTGGGCTGTGCGCTATGGGAGAGTCAGCTAGGGAAAGATGGGTTTCTCAGGAGAAGAAGGGGGGGGCCTTTCAACCCTGGGCCTGAGCTTTAGTAACTTCCCTTTCTCTCTGCCCTACTTCCAAGGCCCTGGGAGACTGGGACTGTTGCAGGCCAGGCATGAGAGGAGAGGCCGCCTGATGCATGCCCGGCTGAAGGCCTATTCCCTTCACAGCCCACCTAAGGCTGGAGCTTAGGCCCTGGGAGCTTTGGGGAGCCCCGCTGGGTTCACACACTCCTGCGGACTCCACGGATCTCTGCAGTTCTCAGGTGGCCCTCCGTGGTGCCGGCAGAGGCCTTCCTCGTGCTCACTCCCAGGAGCCCTCTTGGAGGAGGGAGTGCGGCTGCCTTCTGGCTTTTGGTGCTGGAGCACAGCCAGAGGCCTCCAGTGGAGGAGGAGGAGGAGGAGGAGGAGGCTTCTCCTGAGCTGCTTCCTCAGGCCTCCTCGCTGATGCTGGGTGCGGCCGAAGCAGCCGAGCCAGTTCAGCAGGGTGAGGCAGGTAGGCTGGGAACAGGAGGGCTGCCAATGCAGAAGCAGGCAGCGACAGGCCCTGCTGGGCGGGCTGGTGCAGGAAGGGAGGGAGGGCGTGCTGCGTTTGAGGGCCGAGTCCTGGTAAGTGCAGAGCAGCAACATCCTCCTGGTCCGCCTCCCTGCAGAGCTGCGACGGGTGGTTGGGGAGGCTGCCAAGCGGGTGGCACCCAGGACGAGAGTGGCCGCCTGAGAGGGCCGGGCCAGGCCGGCCGCCTTGAGCTTGGCGTTCTCTGGAAAGGAAGTTGAGGGCTTCCCTCCCAGGCTCTGCTTGTTCCCCGGAGCAGGCCAAGGGCAGCCCAGTAAGTGCCTTGTTTCCAAGCTGAGTTTGAGAAGGGTCAAAAACGCCACGATCGTCCAACGGGCCCCTCTTATATAACAGATATTATAAGCTTAGGTTTTTTTAAGACTAGGACAGCAGTTCTGCATTTTTCCCAAGTTAATTAGCTACTCACTTCCCTGGAAGAGAACATTGTAAACAATCCTTGGAACCCTGGGTCCCCTTTGAGAGCAGCCTTGGAGGCTCACAGGGTCACTTTGGCTCCTCTGGGTCCCCCAGGATTGTTGTTATGGGGAGCCTCTGGAGCCCCCTTTGAGCTCCTGGAGTGCCGCCAAGATAGAGACCTAGGGAAAGGGAGGAGGGTTGCTTCTGGCTTCCTGGGAAACCTTAGCTAGCACCTCCAAAAGCAAATAAGTCATGGGGCAAATCTGATGGTTGATAACAGGGAACGGGAGACGAACTATAACTACCCAATCCAGCAGAAAGCCGTTAGTGAAATGGACAGCCGTAGTGTGGCTCTGCCAGGAGCTCCTGCTCAATCCTGGGTGCTCCCTTTGGGGGGGCCCACTCAAGGTTTCCCCGAGTCTTTGCAACTTGGTGCTTTGCTAGAACAGCCAGCGAAGCCAAACAGGGCACAGGCAGGAGGGTCCAAGAGGGGTTGGCGTTTTCCTGCCACACATGGTCACCAACTTGGATGACTCCAAGTGGAGGAGAGAACTCCAGGGAGGATAAGGCGCTCCCAACAGCTCTTTGTGGCTCCTTCTACCATTGCTTAGAAGAGGTGTCCACTCAACAGCAACGGAATTCAACTAGCTGCGTTTGCAACTGTCTTGTAATTTTTAGAGAGAGGAAGCATCAGGCCTTCTCCCTTGAATCATGGACAAGCTCTTGAATTCTTTTTGTTCTTGCCACCTATATATACTTTTTCCCTTTTTGTGTGTGTGGGGGGAATTCTTCCTTACTAATGTTGCTTTTATTTTTGGGCAGGTAATCATTTCCCCCCTTTTTTCTTTTAACTATAGATTCTAAATGTAATAAAATGGTGGTTGAATATGGAGATTCTGTATCTGTGAGCAGTACTAGAACATAATAGTTAAGTATAGAAGAGTTTATTATTAGATATTTGCCAAATGCTACAGGTCATAAAATCAATTGGTATTGGGAGATTGTTGAGAAGTGTGCCAAAATATAATTTATTGATGGAGTTAGTTTCAATGTGAGAATCTAACAACATAGTCTTAGCATATGTAGAATCATTAAGGACAGGTATTGCTTATTATTTACAGGAGACTCATTTCATGGAACAGGATGAATCTCTGCTAAGGGAGGATTGGGTGGGACAGGTTTATCTCACAGACACTTTGACGAAAGCTAAAGGTGTGGCCCTTTATATTTGGAAAGGGTGCCCAATTGATGTATAACTTATCACTGATGTAAATGGGTGTTATTTAATTTTATGGGTTAAAATAGCTGAGATTGCAATGGCTATGGCTATGGCCCAATGTCAATTCTAAATACTATGTCGCATGAATGTGTTCAGCTTTGAATCAGTACATTTATGATAAAGTGATAATAGGAAGAGAGTTCTATGAAATTTTGGTCTGGAGCTTAATAGAAACATACCAACATGAAAAAAAAAACCATCATTAAGGAATAACTCAATTCAAACAAGCACAAACACGCTGCAGCAACCCTGAACAACAGGACAAGGAAAGAAATCATCTACACAACATCTTCTGACAAAATGGATATCCATGCAGCTTCCAAACAAAAAGTGCCTGACCGCTCAACCTATTATCACACAACCAACAAAGGCGGCAAAAAGGATAACAGTCAAAGACCTTTCAGAAACCATCAATTACAATCCCATGGAATCAGCATACAAACCACCTAAGGCCCCCCAAAGCACTCCAAGTAAACCAAAAGACCCAGCAGGCCCCAAAAAGAAGAAAAGAAAAGAAAAGAAAAGAAAAAAGGGCTGGCATAATCTACAACATGCAGTGTCAAGACCACAGGCCATAGGACAAGCAGCCGTAGGACAAGCAGGCTTAGAAGACCAGCAAGCACACCCAGGAACATCAACTGGCAGGCAGAAGGCACGATGAAACCGCCTTCATTGCACAATATGTGGACAGACGTGGCCACCATGTCAACTGGGAAACTGTGAGACCATCCTAAACCAAGTCCAAAAAGGGAATTCCTGGAAGCCTGGCACTCTTGACCAATTGGCCATCAATGGACACATAGACATAGCAGAAGAACAAAGTTAGAAGGGACCTTAGAGGTCTTCTAGTCCAACCCACTGCACAGGCAGGAGTCCCTATGCCATTCCAGCCAAGTGCCTGTCCAGTCTCTTTTTGAAAGCCCCCCCACCCCCGCCCCAATATGGAGCACCCAGAACTTCTGAAGGCAAATTGTTCCACTGCTTAGTCATTCTCACTGTTTGGATATTTCTCCTTAGTTTTAGGTTGCTTTTCTCCTCGATTAGTTTCCATCCATTATTTTTTGTCTTGCCTTCTGGTGCTTTGGAAAAAAGGTTGACCTGCCCCACCTTCTTTGTGGCAGCCCTCAAATATGGGAAGACCACTATCATCCCTAGTCCTTCTTTTCATAAGGCTAGACATACCCAATTCCAGCAACTGTTCTTCATATGTTTTGCCTCCAGTCCCCTTTGATCTTTGATGCTCTTTTTTGCACTCTTTCTAGAGTCTCAACATCTTTTTATAATATGGTGACCAAAACTGGATGCGGTATCTTTAGTGTGGTTTTAAAGTGATACTAATACTTTACATGATCTTGATTCTATCCCTCTGTTAGTGCAATATCTATATACTTGTAAAAAAAACCGCTTAAAACTCCTCCACCAGCAATCAACACCCAGATGAACGTAAGATTAACACCAAGATTAAAATCAGATGAACAATTAAAAAATAAACAAGTTTCCAACCAAGGAACTACCAAGCAAGCTAGTAGTAAGCCTCCCAACTGAAGAACCTGGAGGACCACTCCCACAAACACGGACCAGGCAAGCCACGAGAATAGAGACTGGGAGCAAACCCCACTCCTTACTAGCACTGATGATGTTACCTAGTTTGTGTAATGAAACTTTTTCAAGAAAACAACCAAGCTCAGAGAATACTAAGGTCCCCTCAATGAGGGCACTTTGAAGAGAGTTTTTCCATTGATGAGGGTCAGGTTTCAGATGAGATGGGTAATTGAAGCTTTTGAGCTGAAAACTGACAACTCAGATTGCACCTGGAATGCAACTAGCAAATATTTCAGATCTTTCCACCCAGGAATAATTGACCTGCCAGTAAGCAATCAGCTAGCCAAGGTTATTGATAATGCTCAATTATTTAGGGTGATTTAAAAAAAAAAAAAG